TCTTCCCTCTGGGTTGTGAGTATCACCTGTAACACAGCTGATGAATGTCTGCTGTATCTTGTGTTCTTTCCCCAGCATCATCTGTTTTGGCTCTCTGCTGATCTTGGTGATTATCCCCAGCTAATAGTACATAAGATGCTGAACGTCTTAATAAACTTCCTTGTATAAGTCGTCAGCTCATACAAGACATCCTAGCCCCAGGTATTGCTTTTGTCCTCTTCATTCCTCACTCCTGGTCTCCTAGTCAACACCTTGCTCTCTGGTGTTGGAACCTTCTTATTCCTGAAGGTTCAGGTCAGTTTATTGAGGGCAAGTGAACTGTTGAAAATTTCTGTCTAGCCTGTGTGTTTCCACATCTGATGACAACTTTGGGTCAATTGTCACCTTTGGGTACGCTGTCAGACGGTGTTAACTGACTTCATGCTCATAGGCATTTCTTTTTCTGTGAGTCACAGCGCAGGCAAAGGAATTGGACTTTTGCCAGGTTCCTATGACGAAAGCACCAGGGAAAGTGGGACCGGGAAAATCATATTCACATATAATTGCAGGGGGAAGGCACCTCTAAAGAGCCTCAGTACCCTCTGTTCTCCTCTGTGTTTCCTGCTTCAGTTTCATGATCCTGCTTGAGGTCAATTAAACCTGTGTAACTGTGACAGAAGCAGCCACTTTATCCTTCTGTCTGCCTTACCAGTCTACCCTCATCTTTCCCCTAATCTTTTGTTGTTCTTTTTAGAGGAAGTTTTATGTATACCAGGCTTTTTTCAAACTCTACTTAGCTGGGGAGGACCTTGAACCTCTGATGCCTCCATTTTTCAAATGCTGGTATTAGGTCCAGCCCTGAGCATGGAATCAAGGCAAGAACTGTGCCAACTGAGCCCCAGCCCCAACCACCCCACTATCATTTTTTTTTTGTTTTGTATTTTTTGTTTTAAGGCTTAGTTCTACTATGTACCGTGCACTAGCCCCAAACCTCCTTGTGCTGCAGCCTTCCCCATGTGAGAGTTACAGATATGCCCGGCCTAACCCTCTTAATCTTGTCCCTTCTGTCTCCTTCCTCCTCTTCTTCCTCTTCCCCACTTCTTGTCAAATCAGCGTCCTGCCACACAGCCAAGGTTGGGCTCTAAATCAGGATTGTTCAGCCTTTCTGTGATTGCAGTGTATGCAATATGCTTTTCTTTTGCTTCACCTTTAACAACCACTCCCTCCACAGGGTGTCCTAAGTTGAAAGAGGGACCTCAATAATGCCCCCTTCCTTTCACATCTCAAATGGATTCTGCTGCAAAAATTGAATGTGTCTTTAACCCTGGTACTCAGAGGTCAAGGGCTAATTGATCTTGATGAGGAAGAAAACAGAGTTATTGGGAAGAAGATCTCCCCTTGTGAAGGAATCTTGACCATTGTCTTAATGTAACCCCCATTTGTCTCCTAGACCCCCTTTGTGCTGTTACTCCCCTGTAGATGGAGATCTGAGGCAGGAAGGACTCTGCGGTTTCCCTTAGTGCTGTCACTGGCAGCAGGAATGAACCCAATGCAGCTAATTGGGTGACCTGATGATCATCCTCAAGGATGCAGGGTGCTCGTCTGCTTGAGAGACAAGGGAGCTCCTTCATGATTCACGGTCCTCTACTCAGGAGACACAAATGTGTCCCTCAGACTCCTTTGCAGGATGGTGGGAATGACACAGAAAGACAAAACGACTCGGATGAAGTCGAGTGCCTACATCAGGAGAGGGATGTTATGTCTGTGCCTCAGCAGTAGCGGTGTGTGATCCAGGGACTGTGAGGCTAATCAGCTGTAACTGAGTTTAGTTGTCAGAGACAGTGCATACTGCTGTGATCCCTGTGTTATCTACAGAATTCTGCCCTTGAAGAAAAGACTGCTTGAAGGTGCTCTGTGTGTGCTTGAAGCTTGAGAGGGGGCACTAGTAAAGAGAAAATGCTCTGTTCAAATATATTTTAAAGAATGAGAATAGTGGTTATATTTTTGTGATGGTTTGCTGAGAATGGTGTACCAGGCTTTTTCTTTTGGACCACCAATCAGCTCCCAAATCATGACACAGATTCTTATTAGATTTGATCAAGCTCCACCTAGTTTAGGCTTGTTTCTGGATAGCTCTCCTAACTTAAATTTACCTGTTTCTCTTTATCTACCTTTTGCCTTGGGGCTTTTTACTTTTGTTCCTTCTGTATACCTTACTTCCACTGCTTCTCATGTCTTGTGTTTGCCTGGCTTCTGGACTAGGGTATATCCCTCCTTCTCTCCTCTCTTCTCTCATCCTTCCCTCTCTGTAACCTAGATTTCTCCTCATACTTACTCTCTCTACCCACCAGCCCTGCCTAACCTTTTCTCTGCCTAGTTATTGGGCTTTCAGCTCTTTATTAGACCAATCAGATGCTTTAGGTAGCCAAGGTGAAACAAATGCAACACATCGTTACCTAATTAAACACACACCCTTACATCATTAAACAAATGCAGCATAAACAAATACAACAATCTTTACATAGTTAAGACAACATTCCACAACATAATGGCTTCCACATACCCCTGTATTTGAATACTTGGATCCTAGTTGGTAAAACTGTTTGGGAAGGATGAAAAGGTGTGACCTTGTTGGAGGAGGTATATCACTGGTGGTGAACTTTCCAACAGATTGGTACAGTTCCCAATGCGTTCTCTGCCTTCTCCTTGATGTTGAGAGGTGAGCTTCAGTTTCTGTTTGAATTCTGCTCTGATTTTGGTTCATGGTAGACTGTGATGGGGTAGTGTAAACTGAAACAATTCTTTCTACCACTAAGTTGCCTTGGGCTCTGGTGCTCAGCACAGTAGTAAAAAAGCAACTAGAATAGTTATTTAATCCCCCCCCCCACACACACACTATTTCAGATGCAATACTTTCCCTAATGTAGTTTTGAGTTCATTATTGTTATGTGTGAAGACTGCTGGTTGTTATATGTTGAT